TAATTAATGTTGGATATACATTAAAATATATCCAAATGTATAATCACCACCTAAATGCATTGTTAAATAAAAACAAAAATGCATCAAAATATATGTCACCGCCTAAATTAATATCTATGAGCGGTACCGGCTTTGACTATTTATTATTTGATTCTCTTCCAATCTCACTTAACTTGGTGAATTCTTCCATATTATCCAAAAATTATTCGGCCAATTATCAACTTCCTTTGTGGAATAAGTTGTCCACTCCAATGATGTTCGTGGTATAGGACATCCCAATTTCAAATAAACTTGAACAAAATATAGTGATTTTGAAAACCATCAAATACACATAATGCATTGTGTTGGATTTTGGGGTCTGTCACTCCGAAGTGGAAAAAATGTTTCTGAGAAACCATATCTTATCAAATCAATACACACCATATTATATACACTTGCTAAAATATGATCATTTTAGGGAAGCACATTCATTTTTCCTCTAGTGTCAAACCACTAACACAAGGAATAAGAGATGCATGAATTGCATAGAAATGTTTTATATATAATGTTCTGTATTATTCCTTATACACCTTTAACTCTTTGAAAAGTTATTGATGGACAAGTGTATAATTCTCATCTCCTTTACCGAAAAAAGTTGAAACAACACAATAAGTGCACTTATCATCACCCTTAACATCTACGATCCGTTCAGTGTATTTGTGCATAAAACTAACACCTCTTCAATGTGTTTTATTTTAGTAAAGGTGGTGAGGGAAATGGTTTCCTAATGCGAGCACATTTGAAAACTTTTTTTTAGATTTTGAAGTTTGAAAATCCAAAAATGTTGTTTTAACGTGTTTGAAATAAAAAGGACACCACTTCGTTGAATTGTCACTCTGTGTAGGTTTGACCTTCTTAAGAGCATCCTTGCTTTTACTGGTTTCGGTAGTAGTTTCAAATTTGTGGTTTCAAGATAGGAAATCTTCTTCACCTGTTCAATGATCTGCAGGTTCATGTTGTCATTGGCTTTCAAAAATATATATTGAATCGCTTCCCATTGATCATGATAGATATATCCAATTTACCATCCTTCATCACACCATCATCAAACCAGAGCCTTTTTCAGTGCGTGTAAACCTCATCCATTCTTATGGGTCTATCAAGTTTCATCTTCTTTGAAATTAAACAGGCACGCAGAAGACCATACACATTCTTAAATGTACAACCACACTTTGAACTATCTGAACCTATTTTCTCTACTCGCTTTGCTTGATGATAAATAAAATTCAATCCCGGTCGAGATATAGTACCCACTAACTGTGAATAAAGATTGTTGTATTTGAATCTGCGCTCTAATACTATAATGTTGTGACCAAATGTATTTGTATCTTGTTATGTTGATTTTGGATCATTTGGTTCACGAGTCCTAACTTCTACATAAATCATCTTTATCATTTCCCAATCAATTCTTCAATGTAGCATGAGTAGATTCAACTATGTTAGTTGTTGTATTTCAAAAGTGTGTAACATGATTGGTTCAAGCACAAACAATTTTCTCCTTCACCATATTTAATAAATTCGGATATTTCTCACACATCCTCCTTGAATGTATTATAGATTCAACATATAACTCTTCTGTAGAAGAGTTTATTATAACATTCCAGACATCCATCATGCTTTCCAATATCACACTACCTTTGACCATTTTCCCATTTTTCCAGCTCAACCAGATTCTTACAAGTAATCAAGAAGGAAATACATGTACATTACCTTAAATTTCAAATTCTTTTGTTCTTTTTTCATGTGAAGAAACACAAGAATGTGATTTTGAAGTACAAAACCTGATTCAGAATGGAGGAATTGGAGGTATGTGGTATGATCATGAAATGAATTGTGCATGAAAGGTAGTGTTCTATTCATTTTTCCACGTGGTAATTTCGAAAGTAAACTTTTGTATTATCCACTGATAGTGAAAAACTAAATACACTATCATGAGTTCTAAATGTGTACAGGAGTTAGTTCAGTATTTAACCTATGGACTCACTCTTCCATCAATACGAAGGTTAACTTCTGTATTATTTTTTGACAAAATAAAAATAACTCACTTACAAAGTACGGGTTGGGTTAGATCTAATATATTACTCGATCCGTTCAAATTTCAACGGATTGGATTCATCATCCAACTCGTAATTTTACATTCAAAACTTATTCAAAACTTACTCAAATCGATCTGTTCATTTATGAGTTGGACTGGATTGAGCTAAGTTCACTAGTTATGTTTCAAATAAATAAAAAAATTTCAATAATTTTTTTTAGTCATACAAAAATTGTAACACAATTCAATACAATTATATTCATTTCTAACACTTAATTGAATGGAACACATCATATAATCTTTAATAAAATTCATCTGTACAACATAACACTTGATAATAGTATAAAATTTTACAAAACACATTATTTTCATAAAATACATAAATTAAAAATGATACAAAAGAAAATAAAAAACAACACTTAATCTTAAAATTACATAAACTTATTGGTCAAATAGTATAGGCGTTGAATACATTTTTATTAGTAAAATTTTGATTAATTGTATAATAAAAATTAAAAAATTGTTAGAATTGATATACTAGCAAACATGAGTTGGTTATGAGTTATCTTCCGCAATTCCTTTAGTATTTTCAGGATTTTTTAAGGTGGCTCTTCTTGATGAAAAGAGCAAACCCTAAACTGAATTGTATTATAAGTTTTCAAAAGATTCGTTATCCAAAGACAAACAAATTATTATAGGATCCATCGTACAGGACATATTGAAGTTTTTATGGTTCGTAATATTTGGTAAGTTGTTGTTGATTACGCTGGAAGCATATTCCCATAAACAACTGGTATATACTCAAAAAAAGTTAAGGGTGCATATACAATATTTTCTATAAAAAACAAGCTAGAACAGCATCACTAACAGAATATTATACCATGCATTTTAAATTGGGCAAACACTGCAACTACAGTATAGTATATCTATGAATGGACAGTATAAATAACGATTAATAATAAATATGGAAAATTAAACTCCTTGTAACAAATAATACATGACACATCATTTTATCTAAATGCCATGTAACTTGTATTGAACAGAACAGCAAATGAGTTGAAAATCATTTGTGCATTTAACTAGTGATTGTAGTATATCATAGATTGCTCTTGCCCTGCAGAAGGGCTGGTATTTGGGAAGACAAAATGTATCGGCGTGCGATTAACTTGATCATTGGGCTCTTTGCAGCAACTTTTCAGCCATTATTTTCTGTTGGACACCACTCAATATCTCTGAGTTTACGAGTGCATTAGCTACAATGATGGTTGTAGATGGAGACGAGGCATTGACCTAGATGAAAAAAAATTCAAACGGAAAACTGAAATTAATACAGAAAATCTCCCAAATTTTAGAAATAAAAAACTCTGAAACTAGAAGCCGTCTGCATACCCAAACACGCCCGTTTAAGCCAACTGCTATCTCGAAAGAGAGTTTCTTCCCTAAAGTATCAAGTACTGGACATGTGGGTGAGCTGAGAAGCCTACAAACAAAAAATAATTTCTCGTATCATGATCTGTTAAAAATATGCATGAAAAGAAAAACAAAATTAAACTCCGTACATTCTTGAGAGACCAGTTGAACATTCAAACATATAGCCTTCCTTTAGGGCACCAAACTCTCCTGCTTTCCCACTGGCTAAACAAACACCATAAAAAATAAAAAAATAAATCAAATTTGCATAAATAAAATGGAAAGAAATAACATTAACCCCAGAAATTAAAGGTCTTTGATGTAAATGTAGCCCACAAAACGGAATTTAAAAAAGAAGTCAAAGAATAAGACGCCAACCATCAGTGCATGACAGCTCAGGATTCACTCCAGGGTTTGCTTTCACAACCCGTAAATAGAGCAAAGCACCTACCTGCAAGGTGAAGCAGAATTAGGTAAAAGAAACATAACCTCCTACAAAAACAAGATAGACCAACAAGGAAACATTATTTAACAGCAACAGGGGAAAGACAGGTCAAGTGTTGGTTTGCAGGTCTAAACAAAGGAAAAAAGAAACGGGTGAATTGTTATTGCTGCATGTTATCTCTCGCAATAAATAATAAAGCATTCTATATTCTAGTCTGATCAAATGGTAGTGCATCGTTCTCTTCACATTTGGTAAATCCAAGAGATATGAGTGGAATATGAGATCATCCTGCAAAGCGTGTTCTTAGAAAAGACTTGATAATCACTAAACTCCCATTTGGAGATAGCCTATTAATCCATATAAATGATTCAGACCAAGAAATACTTGAACCTATTCTACATGGGCCACTTGTATTGATTTTCAAACATTCCTGTGAGCATTCAGAATGTACTCTTTTTCATTTGTTTTTCTTAATTGATCTAGTATTGTCTAAATTTATTTATAAGGTTGACAATCCTATTTAGAAATTATTGGACGGAAGATTTTAATTTGCGATGAGAAGCCCTAGCAAAGGGGGAAAAGTATTGGACACCTGGGATTCTCTTCTTAAAATAGAAAATTAGTAATACAATGGTAGGCTGGTTTTTCAGGAAATTCCTATTTTATTGAAGGAGTTTAACAACACTCGGGTCATTCTAGGTTTTTAAAACTTGCATGAGGCTGGAAGCCTTAGTTTATTGGGAGAGCATGCAAAAAGATAAACAACAATTAGTGTGTCAACAGATAAGTATCAAATCCTCTCTCACCAATACCAAATATAACTTGCAGAAATAGCATACAAATATAATTTTTGCACACCTCAAACTTAGGTATATTTCTTCTTGTTCCTCCTTCAAATGCAAGCACCGGTAGAAATGCTAATTCAGGTCCTTTTATATCCACGAGAAAGTTCTGCACAAATATGAATTAGAATTTTAAATAAAATAGAATAAAACTCAAAGTTAAGAAAAAGTCAATTGTTTTCAAGGAAATAGAAAATAATAGAAAGTAAAAGAGTTGAATGGAACCAAGCAAAGACTAGAATGAGCTGAAAAACTGGACAACAAAAATATGAATTTACTTACATCTGATCTGGAGTCAACAATGATTCCTAGAACCAAATCCTCTGGACGGGGCACATACTGTACAAAACAGCATAATCAGAATATGGAAGGAAAAAAATAGCATTTCTCTGATCATAGGGAAAAACCTTACAAATCTATTCTCTATGTAACAGGCAAGGAAAAGGAAAAGGAAAATCAAAACTTGTATGCATTAAGAGATGTTTTTCTTCCATAATGCAAACTACAATGCATCTTAAACAATAAAAATTCAACACTCATATACTAGTATGTGCAAAGTGTGTTAAGGAGTGGAAATTTAATCAAAAAATAATGTCACACACACACAAAACATCTTTAACCTAATTTTATGGCCACCACCTCATTCAATAAGTAACATTGAAAAATCAACATTGTCGCATCAGTCAGAGAAAGCCTTTACACAACTATACTCACCCTCTTTTGAGAACTTTCAACCCAATATTTATTTGGCTTGGAGAACCTAAATCTGCCGGCCTTCATTACAGAAATCACATCACCGTCCTAAAATTTGATACAAATGAGAATTTGTTACTAATATAATGGAAAAAAATGAGCAAAATGTCAGAACTATCATTTATTATTTTCTTCTTGTTTTAGAAGGTACCAAGTATGAATATGTATGAAGAAATAACATATTTAAAGCAAGACACCTTAGGTTCGGACAAAATTGAAATTGAAGTCCCCTATATGCAGAAAACTTCAATGAAATGGAATTATGGAATGAAATAGAAAATTCAATAATACCAGTACAATCATAAAAAAAAATGGATTAGAGGCAATCATTTAGAACATGCCTAGAATAATTACTAATCTGCTTGATTGTGAAAAATAGAAAATCATACTAAAATTAACATAGTCGAGTCATGATGAAATAGCAAATTAAATTTTATACAAGCTGGTTAGGAACTGGAAATGTAGCAATTTTCTTAATAAAGCAGAGTTGATTTGCCTTTAGTTTATGCTCAAACTTGGATTTTAATTCATAAAATACCAATCCACTTTGTTCAAAAACAACCTCTATTTAGATTTTTTAAAAGGACAACACCCTATTGAGTCTAAAGATTTCTGAAATTTGAGGTTTCAAGCAACCTATATATACACAGAAGTCTACTCTTTTTCCAAATTTGTTGTCAAGGAGACCTCTAATCCCCAATTAAACGTCGAATCTCAACTCTTACTATGCATGTAATGTTAGAAACTAGTTTACCATTCTAAAGGTGAAAAGTGGATTTATGACCGACAAACAAGTTTTTCTCTTCCAAGCATAAAGTCTAAGAATAGTAGAGCAGAAATTCTATTAAAAAAAAGTACATCATCATTTATCAAACAGCATACCTGACGCAGACCGCCTCCAAGCTTAATAGTCTGGTTAGTCATGCTAGAGAGGTCAAGAACCACATCTCCAGGATACTATAAAACCAACCATAGAAAAAAAAATTATTAACATAAAAAGACAATACACAGCATTATAATATTATATTGTATCCATGGATAAATAACAGCAACTACTCACCACTAATTGATCTACTAAGTTTGTAGAAGAATTGGAGGATTTACTTTCCATCTAATGGCTTTTAGAAGTCCCAACAACTTTCTATTTAAACCTATAAACAACATTTAGCATCCAAATGTTAGTATTCATCATTCAGCAACCTAAGTTACTCAAAATTCTAACTTAGGGTTTTCACTCCCCCAATCACACGTGGCAATGAAATAAACCTAATCGCCACCAATAGTGGTGTGATTGCGGCGGTGTGGAGGGGAGCGGCCGGCAATGAAATAAACCTAATCGCCACCAATAGTGGTGTGATTGCGGCGGTGTGGAGGGGAGCGGCCGCTGGCCGCTACAGTGAAGTCATATTCCTCGCCGGTTCGAACCGAATAAGAAGAATTTTTTTAAAGAGGACGGAAACCTGAGAAAACACAGTAAGAAGAGGAGGGATAGTGAAGAAAAACGAAAAATCACATTACCGGAATGTTGGAATGTTTGAATTACGGTGGCGCTGCTCCTAAGTAGAATGAAAAGGATATCTCAAAGTGACACGTAGAATGAAAAGGATATCTCAAAGTGCCACGCAAAATTTATTAGGGTTTTGGGGTTTACTAAATATTTTATATGTGGTGTTGTTTAAGAAGGTTTAAATAGACCTAAGATCCACCGGGATGCCAAAATGGATGGATTAGATGGATATAGAATGGATTAAAATAATTCATTAGTCCATTAACAATCGACTAAAATTTTCTTAAAATTATTCAATCCAATCTATTCATTAAAATTAAAATTCATTCAATCCATCTATTAACATATTTTTAATGGATGATATTCATCCATCCAATTTTTTTTTTATTTCGTAAAACAAATATATTTTTTTATTTTTAAAAATTTTATTTTTAAAAAATTTATTTTTAAAAAATTTATTTTTTGTATTTAAAAAAATTTTTTTTTTAATATATTTATTAAAAAAATTGAATTTTTTTTATTTTAAAAAGAAATTGATATTTTAATTTTTGAAAAATATCGACTTTTTTTCCAAAAAAAAAAGTCGGTTTTTTTTTTTCGAAAAACAAATCAGTTTTTTATTCTGAAGAAAAACCGATTTTTTTCCAAAAAAAAAATCGGTTTTTTTTTCGAGAAAAATTTTTATTTTTTTTCGAAAAACAAATCAGTTTTTTATTCTGAAAAAAAAAACGATTTTTTTCGAGAAAAAAAAAGTCGGTTTTTTTTGAGAAAAAAATTTATTTTTTTTCGAAAAACAAATCGGTTTTTTATTCTGAAAAAAAAACGATTTTTTTTCCAAAAAAAAAAGTAGGTGTTTTTTTCGAGAAAAAATTTTATTTTTTTTTCGAAAAACAAATCAGTTTTTTATTCTGAAAAAAGAACCGATTTTTTTCGGAAAAAAAAATCGATTTTTTTTTCGAGAAATTTTTTTTTCGAAAAACAATTCAGTTTTTTATTCTGAAAAAAAAAACGATTTTTTTCGAAAAAATAACAGATTTTTTTTTCAAAAAAAAATATACTTTTTATTTTCAGAAAAAAAAAATCATTTTTTTCGAAAAAAAATATAGTTTTTTTAATTATTTTTAAAAAAATCTATTTTAAAAAAAAATAAATCTAACGAAAATAAAAATAATTTATTGAATCCTTAAAATATGTTGGATGGATTGAATCCATCCATGCATATAAATGGATGGATTTAATCCAATCCATTAACTTATTTTTTGTGTGGTGGATGGATTGGATGGATTTTTTGATGGAGGGATTGGATGAATTTTGCCTTAATGGATTCAATTGCCACCTTAATATCTACGTCATAATTATTTGGTTATTGTTGATAAGATTAAAGCATATATCTTTTAAAATTAAATATTATTAAAATAATCAATAATTAGTTATTTTTACTTGTTTTTTCTATGTTACCTTGAGAAAAAGATGGAAGCCAAATTTATCGAGGGTTGTGGGGTTTACTAACTATTTTATATGTGGTGTTGTTTAAGAATGTTTAAATAGACCTAATATCCACGTCATAATTATTCAGTTATTGTTGATAAGATTAAAACATATATCTTTTAAAATTAAATATTATTAAAATAATCAATAATTAATTATTTTTATTTGTTTTTTTATGTTACCTTGAGAAAAAGATGGACGCCAAATTTATCGAGGGTTTTGGGGTTTACTAACTATTTTATATGTGGTGTTGTTTAAGAATGTTTAAATAGACCTAATATTCACGTCATAATTATTCGGTTATTGTTGATAAAATTAAAGCATATATCTTTTAAAATTAAATATTATTAAAATAATCAATAATTAGTTATTTTTACTTGTTTTTTCTATGTTACCTTGAGAAAAAGATGGACGCCAAATTTACTGAGGATTTTGGGGTTTATTAAATATTTTATATGTGGTATTGTTTAAGAATATTTAAATAGACTTAATATCCACGTCATAATTATTCGGTTATTGTTGATAAGATTAAAACATATATCTTTTAAAATTAGATATTATTAAAATAATCAATAATTAGTTATTTTTACTTGTTTTTTCTATGTTACCTTGAGAAAAAGATGGGTAACTTATCTTGAAAAAATAACCAATTACAAAAAAAAAAATCTTAATTGCAACTTTGGTCTTCTATTTTGTGTTTTTTTAAGTTTTGATTTCCCATTTTAAAAACTATAATTTTGGTCATTTTTTTAGGTTTCAAGATTAATATTAGTCTCCGTGTCATTTTAAGTTATGTTTTTAATGAGGTGGCGCGTTGAATGCTGATGTGACATTTTTATGTCAGTTAAAATGGTCTTTTTAATTTTAATATAATTTTTATGTCATTAACTTAAATATTATTTCATTTTCACAAATTTAATAAAATAAAATTTAAATAAAAAACTTCATTAACTTAAATATTATTTCATTTTCGTTTTCATCTTCAACCCATTGTAACCATTTTTTAACGAACGAATCAAACCGCAACTCGCATTTCTTCTTCCCATTGTAACCCATTTTCATCTTCCCATTTCTTCAAAAGGAGAAATTAAGTAGGTACACATGTGTTACAAGTCCTAACATTCAAAAAAGTCTTGGAAAAAACAAAGAAATGCAATAATATTTAAGTTAATGGGGTTTTTTATTTAAGTTAATGGGAAGATGAAAACAGATTACAATGAGAAGAAGAAATGTGAGTTGCGGTTTGATTCGTTCGTGAAGAAATGGTTACAATGAGTTAAAGATGAAAATTAAATAATATTTAAGTTAATGGGGTTCTTTATTTAAGTTTTATTTTATTAAATGTGTGAAGATGAAATAATATTTAAGTTAATGACATGGAAATTATATTAAAATTAAAAAGACCATTTTAACTGACATGGAAATGCCACATCAGCATTCAACGCGCCACCTCATTAAAAACATGACTTAAAATGACAAAGGGACTAATATTAATCTTGAAACCTAAAAAAATGGACCAAAATCGTGATTTTTAAGATTGGAGGATCAAAACTCAAAAAAACACAAAATAGGGGGGTCAAAGTTGCAATTAAGCCTAAAAAAATATGTGCATTCATTAATCTTACAACACTAAAATATATTATTTATATTTTATTATAGATATTTTATTTTATTTTCATATTTGATCTTATACATTAATTACAATTTATCTTTTCAAAAAAAGTTGTTTCACTCTCACTTCTTTTTTCTCTTTTTTTTATTTCATTTTCGTTTTCATCTTCAACCCATTGTTTAAGTAAAATTACACATGATGATGTAAGAGCTATGGAATTTAACACAAAGGAAGAGGTTATACAATTTTACATAATGTATACACGTTTTCATGGGTTTGTTGTAAGGAAATATGATATGGTGCGTAATCATGAGAACAAGATTGTTGTACGTCGATTACTTTGCAATAAAGAGGGTAAAGGTGAAAGGAAAAATAAGAAGAATGAGGATAAACATATACCAACTATGCGAAGGGGATGTCGTGCTAGATTTCGAGTAGCTTAGGGAGCAAACTAACCTAAAACTATAAATAGATGGAGTAACTTATATTCTTGTAACACATTTAATTCACAGAAGTTTGTAGTTGCAAAGTTAATAAGAGAATTTTCACAGTTTGTGGGAAGAGAGAAACTCTGTAGAAAATCACCATCTTCTCCAATTTTCTTAAAACCATAATATTCTTTATTATTCAATCTTTTTTTATCCTTTTAACAATTATTGTGCAGAACCACTATTGAAATCAAGGTCTGATTGATTCATTCGAGTAAAGAACAAGAGAGGAATTCAATCAGTTGATTGAATCTTGTTCATTAATATTGGTCCGGAATTCTCAAAGTTTTTGGGTTAATTCCATCATCTGGTATCAAAGCTCCAGTTTGAGCGATTCGTGGGAAGAAAATCACAATGGTAATGAATCATTCAAACTGACATTTTCATGTGAATCTCTCGATTCTCAAGAACAATAATTATGAGAATTTGTGCAAGTAGATGAAGGTTATGTTTTGTTATCAAGATCTTTAGGATCTTGTGAAGGAAGGAGTAACACCGTTTATAGAAAACACGTCGGATCAAGAAAATTTCGAATACAATGAATTGAAGAAGAAAGATTATAAACCCTTTTTATAATTCAACAACATGTTGATCCAAATAATTTTGAAAAGGTTAGTGATGTAGAATTAGTGAAAGAAGCCTGGAAAATTATGGAGAATCATTTGGAGGTGCAGATAAGGTGAAAGAGTAGGGCAAATTTTGGGGTGTGACAGGTAGTAGCCATAAAAGAGTCGAAAGACTTATCAACATTGACAAAGGAAGAGCTTCAATGGACGCTTGAATCTCATGAACAAAGAATAATTGAAAGAGTTGCAGGAAAGTCGAAGAGTGATATGGCTTTGCATGTACAATCAGCAAAAGAAAAGAAAGGCAAAGGAAGTTGGAATGGAAACAAAGGAAGAAGAGGCTACAACAATTTAAATGGTCGAAATCACAAAGAATGAGGTTGTCGAATTAGAGGAAACTCTGGTGTTGCAGGTAGAGGAAGGTATGGTGGTTAAAAACCTAACAAAAGT